CTCAATGGTGCACCTTTCGAATAGGATCTTGAGCCTGTGATAATTAGTAGATTTATTCTGCTCAGGATGCTGCATCGCGTCAGGAATATCGTAGTCGTATTATTGATGCACGTGGCGTCGTAAATAAAAGCAATATTTTTGCACTTTGCGAATAGCAATATCTCAATTCCCACATCGAATAAGGGTAATCAGAGGGTGAGTCAACAATAAAGTACACAACCCCGTAATTTTGTATAAGCAAAGTATACGTACCACAAATTCCAGTCGTGAGGGTTGGGAGATGACATTTTTGTAAAATTCAACACTTATTGAGTCACTTTAGGGAAATTCCCATTTTTTTTTCTTCCATAAATACAATTTTTTAAGGGTATATCTTCCCGTTACTCCCCTAAGTTCGTGACACGCGATATCCTATTTTCCCTTTATTTTTTTTTTTTTTTAATGCCCCTCTCAAACGACAATTAAGGGTGGCACGCAAATCCGCCCTTGTAATAAGAAATACGCGAGGCATCTCATGCCGGAAATGAGAAAATCGACTTCGACGTAATTTTTAGATTGGGGAAGTAACGGCCAGCTGAATTCGGTACATGGTTACCGGAAGTACCTAATTCAATGATTAAAGTCATCCCAGTGGATTTAAAATCCCTGAAGATATTTATTACCTAATTCGTTATCCATTAACAGTCGTCCTCATCTTTCTTCGGGGTCCATCAACCCCACGCCGGAATTTCATCAGTCTGACTGAAATCAACCTGAACGTAAATTCGTAGCCCATCCACTCTCCTCGGTATTAATATTACACGTAAATCAGTTTTTACCGAATTCAATTGTAATCCGGTGATTCTCCCCAGCTCTAACTTGGCCTTTCATCGGGGCTTTCGAGAAGCCAATCTCAAAAAGGGCTCATTCATCAATGACTTCTGTATATCGGATTTTAATTACTACCATAACGCAAAGTGCTTTCAGGCCTCAAATTAGCTTGGCTTGGTTTAGTGTTTCTGCTGTGCGTGCGCACTTACGTAATATATCTGCTATTTCTACTATTGCATCGTTTCGCGGGAAATGTCCATTTCCGGTAGCGGTAATTGGTTTCAGTGCAGCCGCTATCTGGGCTTTCATTGTTTCTCTGGCGAAATTGTCGTGATATCTAGATGCATACATAGATGTGGGTATATAGGCGTGCATATTGGTTTTGAAGCGGTTACGTGTTTTATGTACAATTTATAGTCGCGCTATTGTTGACAGTTTTTCTGTGACAGACGTACCTGTATACATTATATAATGCATCAGAAAATTTTGGCTTGGAAATACTTGGAAATTTAAAAAAAAGTTTTACATTTATTTGCACATAAAAAATTACAATTTATTGCTATTCATATGTTTTCGTTAATTCTTTTTTTTTCCTTTTGAAAATATTAAAATTTTCTTCAATAGTGACTAGTATGGCGTCTATGGTCTTATGGTGGTTTCCATTTCGATTAATAGTTTGTTATTGGACTCTTCGTGTGTCAATGGCGATAAATTACTTACGGATGTCATTAGGCCCTTGTTTAGAAAGGACGATACGTGTGCATATGACGTATGCACCGCGTAATAGTCACATGCGTACGTGCATGGACACTGGAAGTGCAAATAAATTTTGTATTATTTTTCCGAAAAATTGCATACGCCTATCTTCGAATGAATTTGTTAAAATTACAGACATTCTAATTCACTGTAAATCCTGATGTAAAAATGAAAAATGAAAATTTCAATATTAAGGTAAATTATGGAAAAAAATTTTTAGGCGATTTTTCTTATTTCGTGGATAGTACAAATAAGAGAAATTCTTCGGATATTGGGGTCAGCTGTTTATATCGGCAGGTTTACGTGCGACGACGTGTCAAAATTCGAGAATACGTATTGAGAACAGAAGAAGATTGCGGTAAAAAGAAGAAAATTTTCTATCGTTGAAATTTCGAAAATGTTAATATTACAAGGAAATAATATAACATAAGATACAGTCCCGCAGTGGTTTTTCTGATCTGTAGTCTAATTAGCTCGCACTGGATATACGCTGTGTGACGTAACGCGCACGTGTCACAATCTATGATAATTTTAACGACAATTATTCCGAGTTAAAATTTTGTTCAGATTTACAAATGTCAATGTAACTATTAACTTTTTTGACACTTTCGTTATTAAAGATTCATCTGGCATAATTAATTACATAAAGAGTTACAACGAAGCGAGAGCGAAAATGATTGCGTGTTTTATTTTGGCTCCACTCGACGCTGACTTAATTATGGGAATAGGTATAGTATAACGCAAGATACCTCGATTAAGAGACACTTAACTAATCTATAACCCCAGTGACGTATAATTTAATGGGCGATGATAAAATTTGATTTTTCATTGATAAGAAAAAAAATAATTTCTTAATAAATTTTTTTCCCCCAAATCATTATACATGCAACTCTATGCGCTTAGAATGCATTTTTACGCACATAGCTCACATTTACCTTTAACTGATAAGCTGCCCCTGTCGTTACACGCATACTCCGTACCATATTTATCATAGTCCAGTCCGCTGGTTCACCTCGACAGTTAAGAGTTAAGTAAGATTGACAGACTTGACTCACTCCACTTAGAAATTGCACAATTATCCAATTGCCGGACGATCTTTCCATCTCTGACGACAATTTACCAGAATTTCAATGGAAACGAAATTTGCAATTCCCAGCAGAAAATTTCGCACGAGAGGGACAGTCGCGATTTGAAAATTTACAAATAAATTTTGTCACTGCTCGACCCAACCTAACAGTCACGAGAATTTAATGAAACGGTAGACGGCGCAGACAGCAAGCGGATCTCTTAGCATCAAATGGACCCCATTGCGTCGCTACTCCGAGATCCAGCCTGAAGGTCGAAGTCAATCCGAGAGGTCATTTTGCCAGGGAATGATCTAAGAGTATTTCACTGATAAGAAATTATTTTATCAAAACCAACTTACGTCCACACGTTAACTGACTCTGAGTACTTAGCCGTCTGGTCAATTTGAACTCATTAATGGATGCTTTTATATCGTCGATCTCGTCACCTCGCGTAATCCGAGTAAATTGTATCGTCAGTGGATCCATGAGGAAGAAGGAGCGGGAAAGGCGGCAGTGGGGTAACGGGCGGCTGAGTCAAGCTACTTTTCAACTGGTAGCGTTTTATATTCGCGATCTGCTTCGACAAGCCTGTCTTGTTATCGCCATATACTTTGACGATACATGGGGCAATCATCGAATTGAAATAAAAATTTGGGCTCAAGTAACAGGGGTTGTTTTCATTTGTTATACGAATGTTTTATGTTTTCATCTGGAGCGTGTTACGTGACGTGTATATATCGTTACGGCAGCGACCGCGCATCGTGAGTGTGACACGATACTCAGGAGGGGTTATCATTGGCTCGTTTATATCTGCCGTCCAGGGATAAATTTGGCACGGAGGGATGATATTCCTTCGGTGGGGTGAATACTCATTGAACCATCTCGTAAACGGGAGTCAGGGTTGTCCTATGCTGTAGGTATATTGACATATTCTTGAACCTGCTAAGATAACTGCGGTTAGACCGAAATTCTTTATGGAGATAATATTCGATGTTGTTATCTCATCTTTCAGAATTATTTGTGAATATATATATATATATATACATACATTTGATATTGAGTTAGTTAGTCTGATAACGGAGCGAGATAAGGGTAGAATGTGGAATTTGCTTGGATTATATGTGGAGATGGGATACGGATATTGGATTTATTTAATTCATTAATATTAATCGTACCTATTACTTTTTTTATTAATCAGTGTAATTCATCAGACAGGGAAATGTATTCGGGACGTGCTGGACTTGTGTCGCTAACTGATTTATCGCATTGGATTTGAACGAAGGGACGATAATAATTATCGTCTGTCGTATATGGAGGTAATTACTGTCAATGATTTCTTTGTTACGTGCGTTATGGGTCGAAATGTCATTTTGGTGGTAGTATCAATATTGGTAGTTGCTAGGTATGTTGTTATACTTAATTGTATTTTTATATAAATTTTTTTATTGAATTTTTATATATAGAACTTTTTTTAATTAAACATTGTGTTTAATGTACGTGTGGGTTGAGAGGTACTCGAGGAATGTTTATTTGGTTAAATTACTACCCCACAGTGAGATGGTAAGAACGTGCATATCGGCTGGAAGCGTCACTGTGTGTTTTGTATTTTATTTTATTTCGCAGACTGCTATACTTTAGTCAACAGAAGATAAAAGTCGTAGCAATAATTGTCAAAGCCGTGTATCGTGCCAGATCGCGTAATTTCCTTGGTAATACGAAACAGCGCACCCAGAAAGCGTCGCGAGCCACTCTGGTTAAATAGAATATTCTCTTTTTTCAGTTCCCGTTAGAAAATTATACGCGGGCAGCAGCTGTGTAAAATTCATACCAGGATAATAAATAGAGTGTAACCAACGATGGATAGGGCTAAGACGAACTTGTGTTTTCTCATTTTCTTGGAATGTCTCTTATTTTTCCATTTGGAGAGACACGTTTTTCCCAGGAGAAAAAACGTCATTCGCACAAAGAGGATCAGGTAACGAGCAAATTTACATTACGCTAAGAATGAGTGAAATCGGAGAGAAAAAAAATGTAAAAATTTTAAATAAAGGTATGACTGACAAGTAAAAGGGAACGGGATAAAGATAAAAAAAAGGAATGTGAAAAAAAAATTAAATTTGAAATACATTAAAATCCTCAGCGTTATCCATTGGCAAATAGGTAAAAATGGCAAAATTGAAATAGCGTCAAGGGCTGCACTCGTGCCGATGGTGCTACGAGGAAAGAGTGATACAAGGGAGGGCGCGGATGACCTAATTTTTGCCGGAGAGCCAAGCCGGCGAGAGCGCCCCTCGGAAAAGCCGCGGCTTTTCCGGATGCTACGTCACTGAGCACGAGCGTCGTAGAATCGTTCCGTCAGTCGGGTCTCGACCGCCGTCAACGTCAATACGGCGGCGCACGAGCTTATCGTTAATGTTAACGTAAACGGAAACTCTCGGCGAATGTAAACGCGTACTGCGATGACGTGTAAGTAGAGGAAGCGTGTGTCGTGTCAGCCTTGTGTTTAGTTGATGCGTGGTGCAACGACGACGTAAAAAGTCTAGAAGGTTTAGGGACGCCGGATGAGAGAGGACGCCCACAGGGAGTGGGGTAGACGTGCAACACGGACTTAATGCTCTCTGGGCAACGACGACGAGTTGCGTTTTGCGTCTGTGCATTACGTTTACGTTGTCGCGCACGAAATTGATGTTTAGAGTTGTGACGTTGGGCTCGTCGACGTGTCGCCGCGTCTACCTGACTGATAACGACTGAGACGCGTCCATGTCAACGATTGATAACCGGGACTAACCCGTACGTCGCCTAGGATTTATTTCGAGTGTATCGTGACGGAAGGAGTGAAAAGACGAAAGCTGATTTTTCGTTCGGGATTCGGCAGGAATTTGCGTGCTGAGGGACGAGGAGATTGTTTTGAGGTTAGGGAACGTGGAAGGTTGACATTTTTGTACATTTATCGTGACTTCGGTCCTTATTCACCTCTGTAGGAAGATTTGTTTTGGTTTGTCTTGAACTTGTAGGCATTATGAGAAGTCCGGTCTTCTTGATTCAGATCATTGTACATTAAATCTGGATAAATGATTCGTCAGAATGTTTCTTTACCGTTCATTCGTCGTATTTACATGGACGTATTATTGTACAGTCCTAGATAAAGATTTGTGATGAGTATTTTTTTTCTTCCGTTTTATGTAAGAACGCACAAAATCGTCTCCTCGCACGCAAGCTCCCGTTAAGTGCTATGACTTAATCATCAGTTACGCAAACGCGATGCGTGGGTCTGATAAATAAATGTTATTATACCATCCACAGATAAAAAGGATGTATCGTATCCGGTTTTACGCCGGAAAATAAGTAGGGCATAAGTGACGAGGTTTGGCAATACGTAACCCAAGTATTAAATCGACAATAGGTAAAAATATTGACGTAAAAAAATTAATGCAAAGATTTATTAAGAAAGTGGTAAACTAATTAACGCAAACAAAGTGCTCGTTAGTGATTCTATCAACGGAAAGAGACGATGTACGTAATTAGTTCCAATTTTATCTATATATAAAACTTGACCATATTTGCCATTGGGGAGGTAACTTTTTTTTTATCTCGATTCACCAAAAAGTTATAATTATTCCAGTGCGTTGATCCGAGCTCTAATTCGCACGGTCGTGCATTTTGGGAAACAGTGAAATTATACGAATTTTTTTTTCGTAATTTTTCATATTTTTTTATAAACAAATACAGTGAGCTTTATTTCGTAGCGGTACATTTGAATCGTGATTAATGAAAAAGACCTGTCAGTCTCGTCTCATGAAAAATGAATTTATTATTTATCCACTGTGAGATACAGTTTTTTTTTTTAAAATATCAGCGTCGATTCTTTCAATTCCAAGAAAAATCCTGATTATTCGCAGATCACCATTATGAGATAGATCCGTCTGATTGTCTCCTGGCAACCATAAAAAGAGCCGAAGGTTTAATTTACAGACGTAAAATATCAGCAGCTCGTGAGGATCGATGAAATCTGGGAAAGCGAGAGTTTCTAACGTTCCTTCTTATCTCTAACGATCTAAACACGTGGAGAGCATATATAATTTATTTCATATGAAATTTTGATTAGTCGTGGATTCTTTTTGAAATTCTATATCAAAGCGGCTGTCATCTCAAGCAGTGAGCGAACGTAAAACGAAAGCAATTACTGGTTGGGACAGAGGGATTGGGAGAGAGAAAAAAAAAGCTTAGGGGTTAGACGAAGATGATGCTGGGAAAGTAGAGGTGAGATTTACGAGTATAGAGACTGAGCTGTTGTAGAATACTACTGGACCAAAGTACAGAGAATAAATCATTATGGACTAATGAAATTAAGAGACTTGCCCGCAGGCACTTTCGTCCGTGGTATCATTTGTACGTTACATTACAAAGAATTATTTTACTCTGTCGAAAATCGCTGGTACGAATTTCGAGCTCGATTAGTCGAATCCCATGTTATTTTTATCTTCCTAATGAAGTTTTTATCGAAACTTCATTATCTATGTGTTATTCCATATAATATGCTGTATATATGTGTATATATATATATATATAACTGTATATACATAACACTGTACAGCGCTTTGATTCATTAAAGGTCCTTATAAATAGAGCCTCCCTTTCAGAATCAATGCTCACTTCTTGTTAGGTGTACTTATTCAATGGCAGGGTAATACATGAATTCGTTTTTTGATAAAGATTAAATATATATATGTATGGTACATTGATACCTCTATGCTTACCCAGAAGAGTGCTATAATTTACATAGATTCGGGAAATTAAAGAAATTAGACGCATTTCCGATACAATTTAAAAATCGTGACAAAGAGCCAATGCGTTAAAAAAAATTTCACGAGAATATGTTAAAAATATTTGAAAAGATATCAACTATAAATTTACATATCACCCAATTTTCAATATCCAATATTTTTTTCAAATTTTTTACATCGTGGTTGCGCATAAACGAATAAGTTACAAAGATACACATAGACGCAGGAATCTGTCAATATAACAAAAAAAATAAAGCAGAAAACTCTTGAAGAGCTTTAAACGAGCTGGCAAAACGTCTCGGAGCTTCAATTTAAAGTGCACTTGAAAATAATCCCTGTACCTGTTTTTCATTTTCTGGCTTACCAATTCCCTTCTGCACTGGTCGGATTCCGTATCGATTGACGACGACGTTGTTGTCAAAGTTTTACGATTAATTTACACATACCTTCAGAGTCTCTTTAGCTTGTCCAGTCATTCCTCTTATACACTTGTAACCATATGACTGTCTTAAGCGTACAGATAGCCACGTTTCAGTATCTGAGGTGACCCTATGATCTGGCTTCCTTGTTATTAATTTCCAGCTGTTCAAAGCTGCGCGTCTCTATGGTGGTCTAACTTTTGGCAAACAATTGAGTTTTCCCTACTGGTTATACCAATTTCTCATGGGCGGATCTGTATCGTATCTTTTGAGTTGATTTGTAAAGCCGATCCTTCGTAACTTGGTCGGGTATAAGGAAACTATAGAAGGTTCGTGATAACGTTTCAATGTTTATCTCGCTGCTAGACCCTTTTGCCCTGCCGCGTTACTCGACCGAGAATTCCATGGCTGGCCGCATTGAGGGGTAATGAAATTTCCTAACTGGGAATAGTTTGTTTAGTCGAATAATTTGAGCAGACTGACGTTAGCGAACGAGTAAGAGAGAGACGGATGGACTGTGTAAATTCTAAATAGGACAGAAGGTCCTTTGTACGTAAATGGGTATCAGCCTTAAGAAAGCCGTTGGTGAGATCAACTAGTTTCTTGCTGTTGTAGTGAAAAGGACGAGGTAGCCTAATTATCTATTTATCCGACACCAGAGCACGTCTAATTGGATCTCTGAGAAATCAGTCAGTCTAGTCTACTTAGGACCGACTGAACAAATTTAGCGCAGCTTCCAGCACTGCAAGCAGTTAGTTACCTTCGTCGGTTATTTGACACATACATTTATTCAGGGTAAGTTAAGATTTAGCGTTGAAACTTTCTAACCGGACAAAGACATTCGTTTTGAGTTTTTGGGAGTGACTGGAAGTTTATGAAAAACTCAAAATTCACTTTTTCATTGGATTACGTGAATATGATTTTTTTTATATCTTGGGGATAGCTTAACGAATATCTCAAATAAAACACTTCTGGCTCTTCTAATCTAATCCATACCGCGATGAGTGACTGACGTCGGTGTCGACCTTGCAATTTGCAGCCAATCTACGCTTCTAATGGATAATAAAGACCACGTGAAATTGCCTCAAAATTAAAAAATCCCAACCGCATCCCCTGCTTTCGCTGTGCCGATTATCGTGGTTATTAAGCTCGTCTTTTCTGGAATGAGAAAAAAGGGGGAAAAAAAGACTAACTAATGGTTCGACTTGCTCAGATTGTAGGCAGGTATCGCATTTTATTTCTCCTGCGCGAATCCAGGTTATTTCACCTTAATCAATTTGGATTTATATTAAAAAAAAAAGCAAATTATAGCCATTTACTTCAAATGGGTTTTAAACGCTTAAGCGTGACTGGGATATATCCTCCATGGGAATATCTTTGCGGATAGTCGACGCCACACCGGAAAATCTCGCAGCAAAGCTCACCCTCGCCCAAGAGAGCTCAATTCGTGAGATTAACCTTCGTGATTAATTACAATTACCGCCATACGTTTTAAGGGTGCTCGCGCATATTTGCCACTCATCCCTTGGGAGGCCGATTCTGCTTAAGCGAGAGATTCGGGTCAAATGACCCAATTAATTATTTTTTTTTTTGAAATATTAAAATTGCACCCGATTGCATTGGTCAGCGTTGCGTTAATGACGTCACGCCTTATCAGACCTCCTTCATCTTGATCGGATTCACCCCCAGCCCAATGGGAATAGCTATCCACTTTCCAATAGGATACTTTTTACTCCCCTGTTACGATGAGCTTCCTCAACCGGCTGCCCAGCTATACACTCCAATCCTCTCCACGAGAACCCATGGACTATTGATTTCTAACCCCTATAATCTTTTTGTTAAGTGCACATTTCAAGGATCCATTTTGATGCATTTACTCCAAAATATTTTCATGGGAAAAGAAAATCTTCAAAAGGATCCCCGAAAATTCGTGCCCGTCTCAAAAGGCGAAAGTGACAACCTGAATTTATCTATTTTATCATTTTTTTTTCTTTTCTCTTCAATACACTAAACGCATGAAGTTAAAGCGCGAAGTAAATTAAAATCACATTCGAGCCACGGGTTCCAGTAAAAGAATGTCCACCGTAAGTTCAGGGCTTTGTCCAGGTAATTCCTACTGGCCTTACTTTTCAAATGAAATTACGTACCAGATCGTTGATGCGCTGTGTCGCGCAGAAGATGTTTCCCGGATGCGGGATGTTAAACTTAATTACCCGAGAATTTGCAAATTCCCTTTTAAGTCCGGATTAAGAAAGTTGAGAAGTTTTAATAAAATTCCGCGAGGTGCGCCCATGGTTAGCTCGAAATTTATCCCTGATTATATTTTTGCCTCTTTCTTTCTCAAAGGGACGCCGTGAAACGGCTAAATGAATTTTCCTCGTGACGTTTTAACGATACTAACGAGAAGCTCTGCTGACACAACAGAATCTGTTTATACGAGCTTGCGTAAGCTAACGTGAATTTATGACGGCCGCCACAGACGAACGTGTACACTTGAGTATCCGCGTGACTTTTGACACGTACATATATACGTAATATTTAAGAAAAATTCCTCGCACCCCCCAGTGGCAAAAGTGCTAACTAAAATCACCTTAACTTCAGGTATCATCTTTAGCGACCGTACATACGATACTCGTGCATCGAAAAGACCTTTAAGAGATTAATCATAAACGATCGACAATCAACATTGTGTTCCATACACTTGGCATACGGTCAAGGTTGTCAAACGTCAAGACGTTTAATATCTGCTATAATATGGTATAATACCGTGGACGTATAATTTTCGAGGAAAAAAAATTTAACTAAAATCCATTGCGTGTCGACGAGCGATTGCGCGTCCATCGTTCACTGTATAAAAATCGGATGAGATTAATTTGCCGATTTTATTATCGACTTTCGTACAGCTGGCGTTTGGATGAAATATCCGTTTCATCGCGAATCAATGGGACGTACCAATAGGAAGTTGGTACGAATTTGTGTTGGTTAATCAATCGCCATGTACTCGGGGCAGATGTTCAATTGGGAGAGATGCTGCGGATCGGATAGAAGTACCTGTTTACATATCGCGCGTTCGCGGCCTCGAGCTTTCGGTTACGTAAAGTAGTCGCGAGGACGATTCGAAAGAGCCGAAAGTTACGTTGCTCGTGTAGAAAAGTAAGGGAGGATTTTGGCCGAACGAACCTGCCGAGTTGTATTGCCGAAAGTGGGGCTGTGCAACTTTGAACAATTTGCGCGAGGTAATACTGACTAACGGGAGATGCCTTGTAGCGTCGAGAACGACGTAGGGTAGAGGGATGTTGGAATAAAAATTGAAATAAGAATCCTGGGGTAGGATGGGACGTGCTTGTGTTTCTTGAAAAAAAAAAAAAAAAAAAAAAAAAAGAAACAAACAAATTTTCCCTTAATGTCCCACAATATAGATAATACTCGGTTGCAAGAACGTTCAAGAGATACACGATGTGATAAGTAATGACTTGTACACGGCAGTTGCGTTTTGTAAGGGTGAAAAAAAAATAAAAAATAAAAAGTGATTATCTTTTTAGATTTGACAAATTGTGTGTGCAGACTAACATTTTCTTGTGACGAATATACGTAGATCTTGCTTCAAGGGAGGAAAGGGAGAATCGCGAAATTCTCATAACTTAACGTGTACCGTATGTGTCTGCTGTGTTGGAATGAAACTTGTACCGTGGTGAATAAAGCGATGCGCTACGGATAATATATAAAGTTTAATAAATACAGTTCGATATAAGAATAAATAAACTGAAGGTATTCATGGGGATTTCTCTTGTCTCGAATAACACTGGCAAGAATCGCTTTATGTGTCCATAAAGTATGAACGGATCGATTCGATGCGCAAACGGAAGGAATACGATTCGAGTGTTGATAATCTGAGAACGAAAAACATTTTCGTGACGTCGTGCGTGTGTCTCGTGACGTAATTTTTAAAAGTGGAGATACCAAAAGATTTTGGGAATCTCGGAATCGCGAATCGACGATAATGGGCGATCATCGAGAGTACATGAAAAAGTTGTGATATACCGTGAAAGGAAATCAGTTGGATGTCCAGGTGCGTCTCGAGGGATGATCGCGGGCCACGAGAAATGAAGTATCGAAATTTTTTGTTAGTTTTGCTATGACGCAATCGTTTAACGTCTTCAGGGCACTTTTCACGAATTCGTACGAAGGCCTGTGCTAGTAAATAAGTGAAACGCAAGAAGAAGAAGAACGAAGGAAGTGGGCATATAAATAAAGTCGGAGCAGCAAAAGTGTTCGCGAGTGTCTTAAAGCAGTGGGAGAGAGAGAGAGAGAGAGAGAGAGTGGGTCGACGTGGTGTCTACCAGCGGAAAGAGGGGAGGTCCGTGCGGATGCGGTGGCTTGGAATAGGGTGCGCGCGGGTGTAAAGTCCCAGCAATAAGAAAGGGTTAAAAGTAAGCTTCAGCAAGCTCTGAATGTTTTGACATTGAGTGGCGCTAGGGTGTCGACGTGGGGGGCGCGTGGTCTTGCTGCCTGCCGTGCGCCGCCGGCGGCGGCGCGGCTGGGGGTGGTGCAGGAGTCTCGGGGACCACCCCCGAGAGCAAGAAGGGATCCTTGCACAAGCACCAGCAGCAGGCCAGCCCCGTAAGGGGCGAGGAGGAAGAGCGCGCCCCACTCGGTGACCTTGACGAAGACCTGGATGACCTGGAGGACGACCCCAGGGAGCAAGAGCTCAAGGAAGAAGACTCCGCTAAGGAAGGTGGTACGCAGCACAGACTCAGTCCGCGACTTCACGACATCGAGGAAGAGGACGATGAGGAGTGCCGGCTCACTGGGGAGAGGTAAGATCGTTTCTTTGTTATTTTTGGAAATTTTTTTTTTTTTTTATTTACCTCCCTCATTTTCGACCCTTCCGTCCGGCACTCCAGATACTCACTCGAGACAAGTAATATCGATAACTTTTCTTTTTTTTTTTTTACTTTTTTTAAACTCAAAATATCTTTACCTGCCGCAGTGGCTGCTGTGAGCAAATTGGGTACATTTATATACGAGGCACGGTTCATCTGTAAAAACCGTAGGTCCCTTTAGGCGCGCGGCTTTGCCTCTCCTGTTGCGTATTTGTTGTCGAAATTGGAACGTCCAGAAGGAACCGTAAAACCATTTCTTTACGAGGATACTCCCAGGGCCTCTCGACGGCGTCTCGATGGTTTCCGATTTAATCGAACAGGCCGTGTGTGCGTGCGTGTGGAGTCAGGATGTTGGCGAAGGTAATCGAAAAGTAAATGGAGTTTGTAGAAATAGAGACAAGAACTAAAAAAAGACCTATAGCGTACACTCGAAGCAAAGTTGATTATTTGGCGAGCGCCAAAGGAGCAGTAAGGAAGAGCGGTGGTGGCGGGGGAAGGGACTTGTTTGCATTCGAGAGATGAAATTCTCTGATGAAGATGAGAGAATATCGGTAAGTCCTTAACCTCTCTGATCTACGATCCCTCGGTATCCCCAATCTGTTCCCCGGATATTATGAAACTCGCTGCTGCAAGTGTTCTGTACAGTCCGTTCGCTCTAACTGCGGTGAATACGGGGAACTACTCGAATTCGGTATAGCTTCGCACACGTGTTCCTATTACGGGAATAGAACCGAGCGTGAAATATCTTAAGGCCCCACCCAGGTAGCTCTTCCCAATTCCTCCCTCTCTCAGGAATGTGCTTAGGCTTAAGGGAAGCCGGAAGCTCTGTATGCTCGAGAAATTCAATCAACTACATTGGATTTCGAGAGTTCGTCCTAAACTCCTGCTGTTTACATGCCGACCAATGGAATTCGGGCGGCCGTGTAGGACCCTCGTAACGTCCTATGCTCTGTGGGCCATTAGCTGGTTAGTCAATGGAAAATCGTAGGGTATCTGCTCGCTGTCTGTCTCTGTTTTTGTTCTTAATACCGTTACGTTCTTAGCCGTTACTCGCGCGTCACGATAACATATTGCTGTATGTTTTATCTGCCAAGTATAGAACGCTCAATGTATAGTACTAACTGGGGGAAATAGCTTTGGTTCAATATTGCTTGTTTAAGCTTGATTGCGACGAACCTATGTAGGTTATGCTGGTCCGTTGCTAATGATGAGCTCACTATAGGTACTACGTTACAGACGTCTAGACTGCATAGGTCTGCATAGAGTTATGGAATACGGGGTATAGGGGTATTTGGATGATATTCCTCGGTCAGGCTGGTTGCAGCCGCTGATAGGTGATTGACAGACTTTGAACGTATACACGAGATTATTTTTAGCGAAATTCCATACACGAGATTTTTCTTTGTAGTGTACCGCGTTTCCGGCACGTGTACATTTACGAGGTACGGATCTGATTGGGTATTGTCAGGGGTTATTGGGTTTTGCGATATTTTTCTAAATTAATGGTATTTCATTTTTGTTTGGTTCTTCTATATCGTAATGCCGCTTTTATTATACGTTATTTCATTGGCTTTTTGTGAAAAAATCAAGGGGATGTTGAAATGCGAGCTTTCTCTTTTGTCTTTTCTTTGGCTGGTCGATATTTGAAAAGAATTCTTTGAGGATGACTCGTAAATATTTTAGAACGCATCTTACGGCGACGAGATAAAGTCTGTGGAACGTTGTAATATTTTATGGGAATTTTAAAAGATTTTTTGTATTTTTTTTCTTTTCGGAAAAACGGTAGATAAAATATTCTACATAAAACGAGTCGTAAGTCATTTTCTCTATTTTTTTTTAAAAGTAAATTTTAAAAATCATTTTAAAAATCTCGTTTAACCCGGTTCATCGTGTTCATCATTGTTTTTATCAGGTACAATCGAGCCGCTCGGTTTTATTAGAAAATCTGATAGCTGCTGTATCCTCATATAAAAGCATGGTCTCTATTTACTTTAATATACGCTTATCGATTCGGTGATGCTCGGTCTATCGAGAATATGATTTAGCCAAAAGTTATTGAACTATATTGGAAATCTCAGCAGGCTTTTCTTTTTCACGACCTAACTCAAGTTGGTTAGAGCGATGATACCGTGGTGCCGGAGGAGCAACGCTTGCGGATTGAAGAATAAATGCATTTTCACCTCTCGCGAGATTTTACAGCCATACGGATGACAGTCTGATCGAAATTGCGTTATTGTATCGTTAGATATCCGACTTCAGGGAAATAGGAAAGACAACGGGGTCTTCGTAAAGGGATTTCACAGTGGCTGGTTGGATGCGAACAGATTGAAATCTCTGTATAGGTGGAGCCGGGCGTAAAGAGATATATAGGCCAGATCTTTAGAAGTACGGAGTAACCGAGTCTGATCGAAGAAAATTGAAGTAAAACTCCCGTATGAGAAACAGCGTGTGACGCAGGTCGACAACAAAAAAAAAAAAAAAAAAAAAAAAAAAAAAAAAAAAAAAAAAAAAAAAAAAAAAAAAAAAAAAAAAAAAAAAAAAAAAAAAAAACCGAATGTTATTCTCACTGGCTTCCGCGTGTTTACGAAATATCGTCGCAATTCCCCGACGTTATTTAAATGTCCTAAAAGTTCGGGGAATACGTGAATAAAAGATAGGAAAGGACTTTTGATCGTGAGAGCAGGTAATCTCTCGCTACCAATACACAATTTCGAAGAGTTTTCGGGAAGCTCCTCTCCAGCGTCTGGATATTCAAATAGATCTTCCCCTTCCCGACGACGAACGGGCTTCGCCGGGCAGATGATCAGGCTGCATTTTTTATTCGCGGTGAAAGGAATTTAAATAAAAGAAAAAGGATACCAAGGTATAAGGGACGCTAAGAAAAATATTTCAAAAGGAAACGCGTATCGGGAAGATTATGAACGTTCGTTCCCTGGAGTCGCGATATTATTGCGTGGATTTTCATTTTTACCTAAACTCCCCCTCGTAATGCCAGTATCAATTATCTGGCATTTCCTTGGGAATTCGATAAATCATTCCCTACGCTCCTCGAGCTCTCTTCGTCCTTCTTCAATAAGTCAAATGAAAATTTTCCCCTTCCTGTTAAATCTTCCTCCTCTTCCTCCTCTTCCGCCTCTTCGTTCGAACGTTCAAGGGGAAAGAAGATGCCTTTCGTGATTTAGTATGAAATACTGCGCCACTGGCTGCAATCTCTTTCGCGATATATATCTTAATTGGGAAAAGACAGCGGAGGATACTCGCCAAGTGAAAATGTATTGGGGAATTTCGAGAGCCGTCCTAACAGCGAGAGGGCTTTATATTCCCAGTTTCTCAACGTTCAGATTTTGCTCGCACTAGTCTGGGAACTTTGAGTTTCATATCTTTCGTAGATGAAATCATGATTTTTATGGAGGGGAAGAATTTGCTTTGACCAAAGACTGGATTGGGATATATTTGTTTGTCACGTAGTAGCTCGGTAGTCAATATCGGGATCGTATCATCTACGTGTACGTGTAACCGGGTATAGCTGGACTTTCTGGAATTTGGGTCAGCCTCAAATTCTAACCTTGGATCGTATCATTGAATTACTGTCAGTCCGATTAATGATAATAGCAGCAGCAGCATCAAGAGCAATTCGCAGCAAAGAGGATAAGTAGGCTCTGCCTTCGTAATGTTAATTCAAGTTGTTCGCTCGTTGCGACACAACCTGTTGATGGTCTCTCTTATGGTCGAGTGGAAGAGGTTTCGAGGTTAGGTCGAGATCAGGAGTAGTATTCGCCGGAAGAAGAAATTAACGATAAGAAAGTTCGTTCGTTGTGGAGGCTGCGGCTTTGGCTTGCAACAGCTGTAACCCAAGTTTCGATGAATCGTAGAAATTCACTGTAGCTTCGATAGTTTTCCCATGTCCTGTACTTCGACAAACTGTCGCGGTCGCCTTAACGCCAGCGCTTTGCGGTTACATGGAAACTCGAAATGCTAAGATTTCAAGACACGGCGATTACACGTGGGCGTTAACCACGCTCTCGGGGAAACTCGAGAAAGTAGGATTTTCGGTGTTACACGTTGTCTTATGCGAATAGTCAAGGGAAGGAACAACGTTCGTGACTTATTGGTACTTCGGTTAATTATCAATGCACGTGTTTTTGAGTTTGTCGACATTGAGGTGTCAGCGAGATGGATGTTTTTATGATTTTTAGAAAGGATTTTTTTTTTGAAAATTTTCCAAAAATATTTTCTTATCTTACTCACTGGCTGTCTGTACCGTCACACTGTGTGTCTGGTGCCGAAAATCTCTATCGTAGTCACGGGTTGGTAATGTCGCTCTATCTGTCACGCAAGATGTCAGCTGCAAGTACTTTCAGAATTCTGTCATTACGATTACGACAGGTATGGGGTGCACCGTAAGAGCATTTCCGTAGCGGCTAAACGACCTCGCGAATCTGAATTTGAGTGTGGGCTGCGAGTGTGCATTAACGGGGTGAGATTGCGCGTCTCATACGCCTGATATAAATTCACGCCAAATGCTCCGGTATATCCACAACCGCTGTTCGACATAGATCATATTTTATGCCAAAAATATATCCGGCTATTAAAAGATTAACGTTGTTCTACACGTCTGTATTATACGCCTATACAAAAGTATTTATAAAGAAGGTATCATGCTTAGGTTATGTTTATTCTCCATTCGATTTCCCTATGAATTAGATTCTCAGGTTATTCTTGAAAATCTCTATCGATCAAAATTATCGACACGTTATTTTGAAAAAAATTCCATTTTTGTTCCATAAAAAAAAATATTATATTTCGTAAGCGTGATTCCAGTGCCGAATAGCGTACCGTAATTTTGTAGCGTCGCGACGCCTTGTTTACCAGCATCGTTGTTATTGTTTTCGTCGTAAAAGTTATTTATAGCCAATACCCAGTGTAGTTAGCTAATATTAGGTATAGCATTTTTTTTTTATTTCTATAAATATCCATTATATGGGTCGTCATACGTTTCAATGGACTTTTCGTCCGGGTTAAGTCGAATGGGAAACACTCGCAAATGTCTGCGAACTTTTTCGTCTCGTGTAAGGTCATTAGTACCAAGTTCATGAAGACAGTCGCCTTGTAAGTGGCACGCGCAGGTACTAGAAGAAACAATGGCGTAAGAGTGCTTCTAAGTTCGTTATCACAAGGCCATAACGTAGTCGGGCGTAACGAAAAGACCGAGCGAGGTCAGAGTCGTGAAAGCGGTTTTGGCTCTGCTCGATTTTCGGAGTCAAAGCAGGATTTGGCAACGTGCCAAAACTTTTGAGTCACTCATTAGCCATCACCGCGCTATCTCGCGTGTCCCTGGAGCTTTTGCAATTGGCAAACGTTTAATCGCTCGTCACTGCGAATCTGTGATCAAGGAATTGCATCCAAATTCGATTACTTTTCCATACCGGGAAATGAATTTATTTTCGAAATTTCGTGTAAATTTTTTTTTTTTTTGAAAATTATTTCTCAATCGACGTTGCTCAAAAGCACCGACGTAGTTAAACGTAAATTAATTGATTTCGATAACATTCCCACGTGTCCATCGGACAAGGCATTCAGAATAATTTATTGATCTTTTTATTGATTATTTTATTTTCATCTTTCTTTACCTCGAAATTGCTTTTCGCATGTTTCGAAAAAAAAAAAAAAAAAAAAAATTGTAGGATTCCGTAAACATGTGAGCTTTAACGATTTACAGTTAGCGTTCTGCCTTTTCCAGGCAGTATCAAAAGAAATCACCGACGCCAAGCAGTGGTGGAGGTGGGAGCAGGTCAGGTTGGAGAGCTCGAAGGAGCGTCACGACGGCCGGCGCCCCCGGACATCAACACCACGTGATTGCGACTGCAGCTGCAACTGCACAGGCCAGGATGCAGGCTGAGCAAGGAAGCATCGGCGAGCTGCGTGGATACCACAATCTACGTTCACGCAGGCACACACTTGCGAACGTTCGGTGAGTCGGCAGCATGTCAATTAATACGCTTATAGGTGAAAGGTTGAGCGCGTTTCGAGAAATCAAGATAAATCACGAATCTGTGCGAAAAGAAAGGATTCGAACGACCACTAGTCGTGAGGGGAGGAGTCGAGAAATCGAACTTTGACATGGTTCGATGAAAATTGATGATACTTTAGAAAATAATATATAGCATGGCAAATCGTAACTCTCATATAAGTGGAGTATTATATGGTCAGACTCGTGCGCTATACTTTGATATTTATGTCCTTTTTTTACTTATATGTGGATTAACAGTCAAAGCGATCAATTACAATTATATATATAGTACGTAATAATCATGTGAATGGAGGAATAAAAAGAAAGATTGATAATCTTTTTTTTTTAAGGTATTGGTACATATGTTATTGATACGTCATTATACATTATATTTTTCGAATGGATCTGGAGTGGGTTGGAAAAAGTTTGGTATATGTACACTTGAAACGTACAGGGGAGCGTCTGTATCTGTGGTCAGCAGGGAGTAACAGAACGAACTGCGTGCAATCGGGTGCCACAAGAGTATTGATTTCGGTCACTGTGCTTGATGGATTACGAGAAGTCGAGACACGCCGCTCTCCAGTCGATCAGTCGGATTGGCTTTTACCGGACAAGTATTTCCTTAGCTGGATTCATTGAAGTCGCAAGTGCCGTTGCCAACGTTATCGTATCTTCCATCACGTGTATTTACGCTTTTCAAAGTGAATCGAGGTCCGCGGATTTTTCATTGCAACCGCAGCTTGAGTTCGGCCTTAATTTTTCGCTCTTCCTCGACCTCGTAATCTCGAGATCGATGTCCTTTTTTTGTATTTTCGCGTTTGCTTTGGCTCTTGGTATTTTTACAAGGCAACCGTAATCCTTGGTCTCTGGCTTTCGTTTTCGCTTCGCACGTGATTCGTATTTATCTTGGACGTTTATCGAACAGCCGCAGCAAACTTCCTTTTCATAGGACGCGTCTTCCGGCTCTTTGGACATTTTTTCTATCTCGTTCACGAGGATGCTTCCCATTTCACTTTCCTCTTCGGTCGCCCGAGCGTCACATTCGCAACACAGAGACTTCGAAATCTTATTGGTCACACTGGGAATCATCTTTACGGAGACTGATGTCCTTTGCGTTATCGATTTTCCACAGGAGGAACAAGAAACTTGATCCTTACCGTTCGAGCTGCCGCGTGGAATAAATTTGCAAGTAGGTGCGAATATTGTTGTAGTTACTATAGCATTTCCACCCTTATTATGGGTTGGCGAACCCGGCGTCTCTGGATACAAGCCAGAAGACACACGAGCTTTGTCCCTTTCGGTCTCTCTGGCTTTGCGATTACGTATGCACGAGGAGTCCGTCTGGGTGACGACGCTCGACGTCGTCACCGTTGACTGGTTCCTTAAGCTTCCGCGACAACGTAGTTTCCGTACGCGCGAACCTGGACTGGCATCCTTTCGATCTCGGATCGTCGATTCGCCGAAAAATTGGCAAATTTTGGAAATTCGCGGTTGACGTTGCTGCACCGTCAGGTATATGTGGCGTGGCTTATCGGGACTCTGTTTTACCGATCGGGATGCCTCCTGAAACGGATCGATCGCTGTAATCTCTATTGCCAGGAGGGTCTGGGCTAAGTTGAAAGCTTTGTATGGTTTAACTGCGGAGCTTCCATCGGAAGCTTCCGCGTTTTCTAGGGATGTAAAAATATTTGCTTACCAGAGGACACGTTCGTGGCTTGCAGATACAGGGACCCTTTGGGGATGATACAGTAGGAGTCGGTATCTTCTTCCTCTCCCCGTAGACGACCTTAGTCTTGGCTAACGATGGCTTCCTCTCTTTGATTTCATCGATCAGGTCTGTAGGCTCGGACTCTTCTTTTACTTCAATCTTGGGTACAGCCTCATCCGCGGTCACTATCGGCTCTTCCTCTTTGACTTCGAACGGTTCGACTTCGACTGTCACCTTCGATGCTTCCACTTTCTCAATTTCCCGCGAGAGACTGGGCGCTTTATCAATTTTCGCTACTTCGCTTGCTTCTTTGTCTTCCTCCATATCGATTCCTCCCTCGACTATCTTCTTCTCTTCAATATCATCCGCCTTGGCTGGACCACTTTTTTCGGGCTCCGTAGGCACGGCCTCTTCCATCCTTTCAAGTTCAGCTGCTGCCTCTTCGCCTTTTTTCTCAACTTCAATCGTCGATGATTTCTCGACGCTTTCGAAGATCTCAGATTTAATTTCCTCCGCAGGAGTTAGGGCTCTTTCGGACCCCGTCGTCACTACCAGCTTAGCATTACTCGATTTGTCTTCCCCGATAGTATCCGCCTGCTGACTCAATCGCTCTTCTTTTATCTCGTTGTAAGGTCTGCCCGAGCCCTCGTCCTGGGTTATCTGTAGTAAATGACAAAATTTTTATATCTACGTTTTCTCATAAAATCATTTATTCTACTCACCAGCTCCTCCCCCGTACTTGGTTCCGCGTCTTTTACGACCTCCTTTTGGAATTTTGTTTCTGGCAAGGATGCTGCACTTCCTGTTTCCGCTTTTTTCTCAATTTCAATGGTATCCCTTGGTACTACCTCATCCGTGTCTTGGTCCAAAACGTTCGTCGTACCATCCCCGGCATCTTCCCTTTCGAGCTCTACGGGTGTATCGACCGCCTCTTCGAATGGGGTTTCAGAGACTACGTCCGACGGAAATTCAGGTTCTGGGGTCGTAACTGGGGTCATAGGAGTCGTGGTGGTTTCGGGTATTGGCAAAAGTGCAGCAGCGCTTTCCACTTGAGATTTTATGTTTTTTATTACTCCATCCGACGTAACCGCCTCTTGGACTTCCGGAAGATCAACGACCGGTCTGGCCGTTGGCTCTGCTACGGTTTCACCTGAAAATCCTTCCTCCGTAATATCTACCCGTTTTACCGTGTCGCGTTCAATCTCGGTATCGTCACTGTCCCTTTTTGAAATCTGGAAAACGTAGGTAATACCGCGATAAAGTATAATTCAATATACGCGGCTGCCGGAATTTGCCAGAATTCTCGTTTTCTCGCCGAGCCATGCCTATACATAATGGGGACGTAGGATGAGGATGAGGAAAATTTTGTGACCGCTATATATACATATATAATATACGGTAACCCATTCGTAAGCTCCTGTCACGTAACCCATCAAGACTTATAATCAAACCGGATTATACCGTTTTTTGGTTTGGTTTGCACACGTTTATAATAAACTTGAATATCTTACCCCAAGATATAATCTCATTCTCTCCACCATTCGAGACGCTTCCGTCGTTTGGCTCGAGTAGTCCGGACATTTCAAGCAGTCCGGAAAGCGATAACTTCATTACTCCCTTGTTAACGTTCGGTCATAACTAGATTTCGCGAAGAGGCAGAGTCGGTACCTTCAGTTCCCGATCTCTGGCTTAACCTTTCCTTGAACCATACCACGCGTACTCTTGACTATATGTCACTTACCGATGTTACATCTTTTTTCCTGGGGGTCCCGTCGTGCGAGGATTTCAAGCCGTCCCGAGTCAAAACGACCTCACCCCTCGGCACGTCCGTCAACCCCGCTTTTGAGGTGTCAGTACTTCCGGTACTCTCGACGGGTACATCGAGATATTCCATATTGAGCAGAACTTCATCCGTTACTTCATCGTTAACTTCATCCTTAACTTCATCCTTAACAGGTTTCGATTCTTCGGTCAAATCCTTCGCTGGACCATCTTCCTGGACCCTTGATGTACCTGCTTCGATTTTGACCTCTACGGGTTCACTGATTGCCGGTATGACCTCTGGACGCTTCGATGATGTCGCCGCTGTTGGTGTCGGCTGAGGTCTGATTGGTTCTGTAAATTTTGTTTCCTTGGTTTTCGGAGGTTCGTCGCATTTAATATCTGGAGGACAGGGGACGTCCTCTTCTATGGGCATCCCGATCGGGGATAGGACCACGTCGTTGCATATGAAGTCTGGCGCGCAGGCGCCGTAATCGTCCGCATACATTTCGATTAGTAATTGGGCGTTATCAATGCCTTCTTGGTCAATAGTGCCACCCGCGTCGGCTACTTTTGCGTAATCGTTAGGTCTGCCGCTGGCGATGTCCTTTGGTGCTCGAATCCGGAGCCGTCCTGCTGCGAGTCCCGTGACACCGTCCTGCTGGGAAAGATCCCCATCTTTTTGTATCGCGATGTCACTTGATGTAACGTGACTCGTGTCCCGTCCGCTGAGTTGGTCAGCCTGGTTTGGTCTAACTGTGACCTTCTTGTTGGAGACTTTGATGAGGTCTGATTCGGATATTGTAGATTTGTCAGTCTGATCCGGTACAGCATTAACGTATTTACTTGACGTATGGAGAAGATCGTTCGCGCCTGGTGTATCCTTGTCCATCTGTTGAGGTTTGACATTGACCTCCTTAGATATCGATTTTATGAAATCACCCGTGTCTACGTCCTTATCAATCTGATCTGTTCCAGCAGTGATATCTCTGTTGATGGTCCCAGCGAAATCATCCTCCCGCCCACTTGCCACCTCATGGCCTTGGGCCTCCTTACACTTCTTAATCTCGCTGTGAGCGGCGCTCAATTGTTTTCTCATCCTTTCCAATTCATCTTCCAGTTGGCAGGTGCGTCCTGCCAGCTCCTGATTGGCAATGATCTTCGCTTCGAGCTGATCGTGCAGGCTGTCGATACTGCTCTCGGCGTCTCCCTTCACCTTGGCCCACAGCACGTCAGCCTCTTCCAGGGTCTTCATGTACGCGTACTCTCGTCTCTCAAGTTCCTCTATCTGCCTCTTAAGATCGAGTTCCGTCTCGGCGAGTTCCTGAAGTCTGCTCAGGCACTCGAGGTCGGTCGACCTTATGGAGGTCGCGCTGCCGATTTTCTTTAGCCAAATCTCACGGCATTTTATCTCGCCGCACTCGCCCTCCGTGCACCCCACCTCATCCCCCTTTGCCTTCTCCAACGCCTCTCGCGCCTCCTTCGCTTCCGCCTCCAACCTCGCCACTTCCTTCTTACGATCCTCCTGGGCCTTTCTCGCCTCCTCGATCTTCCGCTTTTTATCCGCCAGCGCCACCTCCTTCTGGGCCCACAACGCTCGCGCTTCCTCCGCTCGTCGCTGCGCCTGCTTCCTTTCCGCTTCCACCTCGCGCACGCGGCAGTCGTAATGCTGACTCGGGGTGCTTGGGAAAATCTTTCTCTCCTCTATAGGACCCTTGAATTGTTTCTCGATGACTCGCTGTATGCTGGAGATCGGTGCACCTTGGCTCATTCGCCATATGTTCCACACCGTCACGGCTGGTACGGAACATTCTAGGATTTCTAGACGCTTGCGCAAGTCGCTTTCTCGTCTTTCTAATTGGTCGTTGCGCGACTCGTGCTTTCCTATCATTTCGCGAAAATGCTTCTGGCAACGTCGCGGATCGCGGGAACGATTTCGACACCTGCTTCTTGACCTCGACGATGTTTCACATTTTTTCTCATTTTCCTCTTTTACCTTATCACGGACTTCGAACTTCTTGATTTCGATGACTTTTGCATTTTTCGAATGTTGCGATACCTTGGTGGATGCTGAATTTTTTGAGGCGAATTCTACCGTATTTTTCGTTATCTCTACTGCTTCTGATTTTACTGGCTCCGATGGCTCGTGTACTGCTAGTTCCTCATCATTGCCAGATCTTTCTTCCTCTTCGTCCATTCTTCAAGGCTCGATCGCAATATCCTTGTCGGCAACGCCCAAATAAATTTACGTATATAATCATTTCATCGTGATAAAGAATTTTCAATAATTAATTTTATATTTAAAAAATGACCTGGAATCAACTTATCGCAGCACTTTTCTAACCAATTTTTGACAACTGAAATATTTGACATTTTCGAATTCCAAGATAACGTTACGTCTGAATGTGTCTACGCGGATGCGCAAATCGTTTCACGTCGTATCGCATAAATAAATTCGCAACGCGGAAACGACTATTGCCGTAATTTCCGTATGTTTTATCACTTTAGTCTTTCTCAAATTTGTTACTCCTCACCAGCACTTTTTTACCAGTCCATTTTTCTAACAGCTCGAAATTTACATACGTCTTCAGACAACCTGGGCTCTCATTTAACACGTCACAGGTAGTACAGGCACAACGATTGTCATTCGTCGTACAAGTTCCTTGATGTTTGCACGTGAACATTCAGAGATACTGGCGCGCATTGAAGATGGTCTCAGATAGTATCGAGACAATGACCGACAGCCTCTGACAGTTGCCTACTGAGTCGACGAGACTGAACATTGTTATTGTTCTCGGCGAATCTTTTGTTACGTCATTTGATCTCGTGGCAGCCCAGCCGGTATTGTTTTGCGCTCTTTACCGATTAGTCGAGTTACCGATCGGATGGGAACAAGAATTTAAAAAAATTCAAGATAGTCTTATGGTATACTTGGAAAGAATTGTCGACGCGGGAATTTCAAAAAGCTTATTCGGACACTGTGAACGTATGAATTTTTGTTACATACAAGATACGTCCAAATTACGCAAAAAATAGGAATTCAAAGACAGGAACCCTCGCGAATTTTGGGCCAAGGTCACGCGTGTCCTCGACTTATAAATTAACGCGGTATTTTGGTTTTCCATTATCGCACATTTTTTAAAGGTAACAGAAATCTCTTAAAGTCGTCTTGGTTGAGCTCGTGAGATAAGTTCTTCCGGTTTGAAGGTCAAAGTTCAAGTTACCTCTTTTATATACTGTACACAGTGACATTGATAGCCGTCGTCTAGCTGTACCCAGATAGACTCTCGAACGAATCACATAAAAAGGATCTGACTGTCTTATTTTTATCTAGTAATTTCGCGAGCTAATCACGGAAGCTCGAATCTTGCTATCCTTTGAGAATTCGTAATACAATTATCGTGCGGTTCGGCAAATGAAAAATAGACTAGACCCAAGATGGGTTGACAAATATCACTAGGAGTATGAAACTGCAAATAAATACGGTGCACTGGAAATATTCTCTGTGTTTTGCAGATACTTGGAGGCACGAAAATTCGCTGGATTCAGACCAGACCATTCTCCGTGGTAAAGGACGTCGGGTGAAGAGTCTGAAGTTTAATGATCTTCAGTTCGCTTAACACTGAACACAAAGTGACTAAATTCACTGAGTTTAATTTAAGGTACATCCGGCGTCCATAAGGTATCCCTGAGAGTTTTCACCCTTAAACTCGAAGAAAAGCCCTTCAGAACCCTCGGACATACTCACTACAGCCTCTCAGTTGTACCAATCAAGTGATCTGCCATTTTCGTTTTCTATCTCAATCCTAATTAATACGGACTGCATCTGAAAAAATGGCATCAGTGTAACTCGAAGAGATCCTTTTACTCCTCTTCCATATCCCATTCGACGTGCGTATCGTCTACCTGGTGAAAAGGCGGCCGGCGCGCACCCTCGACCTCCACTTTCTCCACGTTGCCAGAGCCTTGCCTCCCCTTCAGGAATCAATAGTTTCCGAGTAGAAAGTTTTTCTCGAGCTCAGTGCCTGATGAGAACTTTCTTAGGGCATGTGCCACCATGTGGATACATATGTATTCATCGTACAGTCAGGTTCCACATGCTGATATTTATTCAACCTGGAAGCAAATATATAATCGGCGCGATAACTTTTGGTAGAAGATTTATTTAAAAAAAAAAAAAAAAAATTAATTTCATAAGGTGTTATCGAAATTTCGTTATTTCCGGTAAAATGGACTATTTCATTATACCAAGGATAACCTAATTTCTAACTTAATTAATCACTTCAGGCGTCAAATAAATTTTGAAAAGTCAGCCAGTTTACCAACTCCAAAAAAAAATAATCCAATCGTCATTACATGTCGTTCCAGAAATTCACTTCTCATTTTGTATTCATAAAACGAAGTCTTATCCGAGGGTAGGTTTTATTAGAGAGTGCTTTTTAAAATTCAAGGTCATGGAAGCCATCGGCTACTCGCTCCAATCGTCATTCGTCCCGCGCAGCCCCTCGAATTAAAGATACCTTAATTGATATTACATAAATATTTAGCGAACATGCTGCGACGTAACGCGAGACATGATAACAAAACAGGTAGAACGAGGCTGGAGTTGGTAAATAAAATCTTTGAGACTCCATTGAGATCAGGTAGGTAGGTGGGTTATGAGATTTTCGAAATTCACTCGGGATGATAGTAAAAGCCTGGACAGCATGAAATACGGACCGACTGGACACTGGAAACACCTACTAGCTAATATCATTTCCTCTTCAGTTTCATACGTATAATACGTCTACCCTTTGACTACGCTCCAGACTCCAGAAACCATATAGTTGTGGAGTACATTTTTTTTTCTCTTTGAAAATTATCACATGCATTCTACGTCGTTCTTCTCAGTCCCTCGCCCCTCCCCCCCCCC